TGCCTCGCTTTCGAGGTAATTCTACCAAATAAGACAGGTCCTGACTTGTATTGTCAGTGTTCGACGATAACAGGTAAGGACCGCGCTTGACGGGGTTTAAACACTTGAAGACGCCTACTTTAGCTAGAAATGACTAAATATTTCTTGTTTGATTACTACAGGCGAGGAATTCAAATGTTTTTTAAATAGATGAAGGTCAAATTTCACCTTCTTTACGTATTAATACGTAGAATATTTCGAACACCTACAATCATATTTTAACCATGTAAATTGTCGTGTTTTTTTAAATACATAGTCGTCCAAAGTACCTAGGTATTAGCATAAGATTGTTGTAGGCGCTATTAAAATGTCACGAATGTTTTGTGTGTTAACGCGGTAACTCTATTTCTACAGTAACACGTAATGGTAAATCAATATTCTTAAGCGACTTTGAATAGCACGACATTTCTATGTCAAGAAACGTACAAATGTTACGTAAAAGATGGAATAACTAGTTAAATTACTTTAGAAAGAAAGCTAAGACTTTGTTATTTAGAGGGCGTAGTACTGCCCCGTCTTGCATCATAAAATCTAAAATAAAAAATTCTTCCAGCAAATCTGGTGTTCGACGCCGTGCTTAAGATGTGTGAAGATCTACTTCGCGTCGCTGCGTAGCGTGGTGCAGGCGTGCATGGCGGCGACAGTGGCGCCCGCAATGGACGCACTCGGACATGTCTGTCGCCACATACGCGTAAATTACAGGCAGGACGCAACCGAAGATAGAGATTTACTTGTTATTTAATTTGAAATACAAATATAAACTGATAAATAGCACAGTGTGCCGTACAATACGGGTTCCTGCCTAAGCAAAATTGAAACTTATAGTTCGCCACCGCATTTGGCGAATCTATTGCATCTGTACTGAACGCACAGAGTATAAATTAATATCACGAAATGAAGAAATCGTACAGTTTTTTATATCCAAAACTGTAATTTGCATATGAAAATGAATCATTTGTAAAATATTATCTTATCACCCTTACTACGTATTGTACTTTGTGCATATTTTGGTAAATCTATTTATTACTCAGCAACCTAACCTAACCTGCACCAATTTTTTATAAAGAATTGATTTGTAAATACAAAATGAAGCAACAAATTTTAATAAAAATATATTTTTATTGTTCAATTAAATATGCTTTAAAAATAAAATAAATTCATGTTTTTTTTTATGAAACTGTCGGTTTCCAAAGCCTTTGCCTTTACGAAATAACAAAAAAAGTGAATTTGGCGGGAACATCATTTTGCAATTGTTTCTAAGGGTCTACGTTTTAAATTATTACATTTGAGTACGCTATTTGGAGCGTAAATTTTATTTTAATTTGCAAATGATGGATGTAGACGAAACCGGAACATCTTCAAATTCCGCACAACCGCACACAAGCAGTGTATCACGGAACAAAGAAAGCAGTAATAATGAAAATGCAATTGTATTGACGACTTGTACAAGGTGACTTCCAATTTTATAAATTTTTCAACACTAGCAAGACGCAAGTGTTTTCTTATAAACTATAATAATTTATTTTACACATTACAATAGAGATAAGGTTGAATTTCCTCAACATCATACAAGTACAAGCAACAACCAAGAAACTACTGATGAGTCGGAGGCTGAAGAGGTAGGTAATATGGGTTGGGAAGCCTTCAATTGTTTTGTATTTGAACGCATTTCAAATATTTATATAATTAAAAATGTTTGTCGCAGCGTCTTTTAGTGGTTTACTGTCGTTCCGGGAAACTTGGCGCTGCGTATTACACTCTGCAGACGGGAGAGGTCTGTTATCTATTTATATTTCAAAGGTTTAAATAAAACTAAACCAGATGGAGAGTAGAGTGTTTTATTGTCGTTTTGATTGTTGCCAGCTGTTTGTACTGGACGAGATCATAGACCGACCGCCGGAGCACCAGATCCTGTGCAGCCTGTTCCAGCAGGTCCGGCC